TGGATATGATAGAGGTCTATAAAATCGTGACTGGTATGAAGAAAGTGAATAAGGAAATGTTATTTAATCCTTCACATAGCACAAGAACTAGCAGTCACCCAATGAAATTATTAGGCAGCAGGTTTTAAAAAAAACAAAGGGAAGTACTTCTTCACACAACATAAAGTCAACCCGTGGACTCTGCCAGGGGATGCTGTGAAGACCAAAACTATAACAGGATTAAAAAAAGAAGTAGATAAATTCCTGGAGAATAGGTTCGTCAGTGGCTATTAGCCAGGATGGAGAGAGATGCAACACCATGCTCTGAGTGTCCCTAGCCTGTTTGCCAGAAACTGGGAATGGGCAACAGGGGATGGATCACTTGATGATTACCTGTTCTGTTCATTCCCTCTGAAGCACCTGGCCTTGACTACTGTCAGAAGACAGGATACTGGGCTATATGGACCATTGGTCTGACCCAGTATGACCGTTCTTATGTAAAAATTAATTATAATAATAAAAATGTTTAGTACAGAAACTCCCCAACATAATGACCTCTCAAGATAGCAACGATGTGAGATGACAACCTTGGCAAATAATGCATTTTAAAAATCTTGGCCTACTAGGAAACATATTTATATAAGTTTCCATTCCCAGTCACAAATCTAGCATTCTGCAGCAAAGCCACTAAAATATAGTCCAACAAACAAATGTTTGTTTAATGTGCCCCTCACTTTTCCCTCCACCGCACTCCTCTCACCGGTGTTGTCCTTGGTCAGTGGAGACTCAGAGTTCAGAGGTGCTTTCACGTGAGTACACCTCCCTGGTGGGGGGCAAGAAGGCATCTTGCTTGTTCCTCCAGCTGCTCCCTGTTCGCTCTGGCCACTGCTGTTTGTTGTGCCACCGTTCACTCCACCACTCTGTTGCCAATGACCCTGCGCAGTCACCTTCTGCTGCCACCTGCCACTGTGACCTCTGAGTTGGTCTCTTGAGGTTTCACCCAGCTCTCAGTGATTTCAGCTGAGCTCTCAGTGGGGGAACCTCACTGCTAGTGCAGTCTGGGCCGTCTCTTCTACAGAAACACTGTCCCCACAGCAGGACTAAGCACTTAGACCTGATTATCAGTGATTTCAGCTGCAGTGGTCACTTAACAGAACAAAAGACTATCTATGGAGCCTAATCGGCTCTGTCTTTAAACAGTGGAGAGGGACAGGTCCCCACCCTCTCTCTTGATGCCCTAAGTCAGCACAGGCTAAGTACAATTCTACTGCCCTTTACTCATACAATAAGAATAACAACATTTCGCCCCCTTCCCCTGCATTTAAGTGATTTGTAACCCAACCCCAGCCAAAATCTATCACTTGGGCAACACAGCTCTGTTTGCTGGATACCTAGCTAGATTAGGTGTGAATGTAAATACAATCTGGTCCCGAAGCCTTTCCCTCCAGCCCCAGCTCATCACTAGCTGTCAGGGAGAGCTCATTTAGACTTTGCTTACAAATCATCATTTGAAATTATTAGGTTGGTCAACATCACCGAAATGAATGCACTGACATTGGCATAAAAAACAACAGCTGTATAAGGAAGCTAGTCTATCTTCATACTTTTCAAATCTATTATACTTTTTCAGATACACGTATTGTATTATACACTGTATATGCTTTTAAAGTGTGTATTAATGTTTCAATTTCAATTCAAATTTTAAAACAGTCACTAAATTGGCATGTAACTAGTTCACAAAAGTGTGGGGGGGGGGTGTTGGGGAAATTCAGGGGGGGTGTAGGGAAATCACTGTGCCTGAGAGAGCCTGGCTGGGGAGGAGGCAGCTTCCACTCCCCGCCCAGCTTGGCTGTCAGGGACCATGGCACCCGAGCCTGGCCAGGGAGCAGAAACCACCACCCCAGCCAGGTTCTCTCTTGCGTCCTGGCCTCTGAGCCATGCGGCCCCCAGGCCAGCCCCACCTCTTCCCACCCCCTGCTCCTCCTCCTTCCCCCCAGCGCCTCCAGCATGCCGCCAAACAGTTGACAGCGGCGGGTGGGAGGCACTGGCAGGGACGGAAACAAGCTGATCAGTGCTGTTGGGGGAGGTCCTGGGCAATTGCCTCTTTTGCCCTCCTGTCGGCGGGCCTGTATCTGATTGTGCAATCAAAGACTGTATCATAATGAATTCACAAGGGGGCTGAATCAAGGTTGCACAATCAACCTTAATTCTGGCATTTCCTAACTTCTCAGTGCTTGACTTTGCCACATGAATAATGTTTTAACATTTGTTTTGTGTGTAATACAATATATATGCACTTAATAAGTGCTGAGGTTACTGAGTAGATGAACAAAAAATAACAACTTTGGAATGCTGTGTCTAGCATAATACTTTTACTGGAGTGCTAATTTTAGGAAGTTTTTAGCTATATAGAATGAGACATTTGCCATTAAACTATAATTTGCAACAGTTCTTTCAGGGTGATGGGTGCTATTCTCTTCTCCCTTTGTACATGAAGCTGGTTGGAAAGTATAAATGACAAACAAACAAAACTCTGAAAAGCTGCGTTAATTCCATGGGAGAATCAAGTTATGTTGTAAATGCTATTGATGCTTATTTTCTTCTATGATGTTGTAACAAAGACTCAGTGGTATTTTTCCCCATTTTTGAATAAAATGAGCACAATAACAACCAAATATTACGTTGGAGAACTATTAAGGAGATCAACAGCAAAACAGACTTGAGAAAATTAAAACTTAAATTGTTTTTCTCATAGGAGTTAAGCTGTTATAATTAGAGTATACTCCAGATTCAACAAATTGCTAGATGATATGACATCCAAGTTAAGCAGTTTTTCAATATTGCTCATAAATAAAATAAATCTAATGCAACATTCTCTTGCAGCCAAGTTTCTTGAAGAGTACAAAACAATGAAAAACAAAAAGTGACAATAACTGAGTGATCCAGACCTTCCCAATAGGGAAAAAGTTCTATAGAAATTAATAGATAATGATAACTTTTCTCCTGGTTTTCTGAACCATCCTATAAAATTTAATAGAAAATTATAACTCTGCTAGAGAATTCTGTGGAATGGTTCATAAAACCAAGAGAAAGGTTATAATTTTCTATTAAATTATGTAGGTTCTTAGAGTAATTTCTTATCATCTTATTCATTTAATCACTATGAAATTCTGTAGGATATTTCGTAAGAGTTATAAAGCTGAAGACAACAACTTATTTTATAAATAGGACAGGGATATTTTTCAACTTCTGGCATTGATATGCCTTGTCACCTACACAATAGCTACTGCCCCATCTTATTAAGCAATAGAAGTAACTATCTCAAGAAATTAATCATTGAAAGGCTAATTGCAACATGAGGATCTGTTTAGAGACGTCTAGGGAATCCTAGGTTTTGTTTCATGTTTTTACTCATTTCATTATTGTTATAAATTATAATTAATAATAATGATTTTCTCAGTGCTCCAAAAATGAGTTTGGCACCTAACACAAACAAAAATATACTTCCTGCCCCCGTAAGAGCTCACAATTGAACTGCAACATAAGTGAAGGCGATAAACAGAGAAAAGAGGAAGCGTAACAGTAATAAGAGGTCATGGTTATGTAGTAAGGCAAGAACACATCTGGACAGCTCCATTTTTTTATTCCCCTGCTTCTCACAGGCAAGATAGCAGAAGTGATTTTCAAGGAGGAATTTGAATGACATGAGGAAGATGACTTGCAGGACAGGTTTGGGGAGGGTATTCCATGTATAATGGGGCCATGTGAGAGGAAACAAAAGAGACATTGAGACTTCTGTAGCAGTGGTAGTAGGAGCACTGTTTATTTTCAGCTGCTTAAGGGCTAGACTGGGCATGGATGAAACAGTCACGCAGCAGAACAGGGAGTTGAAATGGAGCTTTTCACGGTTGGGTTAGGGCTCTTGGGTTTTGGTTCCTGGTGCTCAGTCTAGTGCAGGGGCTCCACCACAGATGTTACCCTCAGGGAGCAGGTGGGCAGGAAATGGATGGTTAGAGGCAGGGAGCAGGTAAAACCATGGCTTCTTCCTCTGTGTAGCACTCTCTGCTGGTTAGCAGAGCTAGCTGGACACATGGGGGAGTATGCTGCACCCCATAAAGGGGTGTTGAAAATTACTCTTACCCCTTCAGCATAACAGGACCTTGGGCAGAATGGTGCAGCTGAAGGGTGTCCACCGCTTCCTCTGGGCTGTAACCTAAAGCCATAGTGTAGTTCTTTGGGTTCTGTATTTTTCTAGAAAAGTCTGTTTCTCAAGATGTATTTGAATCGTGACTGCATACCTCTGAGTAGATGTTGGTTATACATTAGCAGTGGAATAAACATAAAAGTTATGACAAAGAATATTCATAAACAGTTTTTGAACAATCTCATTTATTATTTGTATCCTACATCCCTACAGTGTGTGTAACCCCACCAAAAATGGCCACTCCTCCCCCCCCCCCATTGCTGCCATGCTAAGAAGTGAGTTATGGAGAACATGAAGAGGAAATGATGATAGCTGTCATTTAGAGCAGATATAGCAGATATGAATTTTGAAAGGCACCATAGAATTTTCTTTATTTTGCCTCTGCCAGTGTTGTTTTAAAACGGATTATTTAAAAATTGGTTGATTGTTTTTGTTTTTTAAACTATTTGGTTGAAACTATGCATGTTAACAAAGAATAACTGTATAGTATATTACTGCTGTAGAACATGTTTTCTGAGGAAATACACAAAACAAAATGAACGATGTAACAATTTTGAAGATTTTGAACTCTCATCTTAACTTCTCAGATATACATTCCAGATCTCAAATTACTTGTGAATTTAATACATAGCTAAAGACAGTGCTGTTGCATTTGTTTGGATCTATCTTATATCAAATGTCTTAAACATTTACTTATCCCCACCTCTAATAAGTTAAAACTGTCCCCTTATATTTGGAAAAAAATGTTCACTCTAATGTTGTATTAAAAATTATAAAATGTGTTTAATAGTAATGTAGTTCATTTTTATTTCTGCAGCTGTGACTCTGAAAACAGGTACCTCGGAAATCCACTCAGGGGAACATGTTACTGTGAGTACTTAAATGCTTCATTTTCTCTAATCTCACAAATTAAGCACTGTATACACATAATATTGTGGGTTTATTTTGACTGTAAAACAAATTAGACAGAATGCTTGGTAGATATTTATTTTTTGATGTATAAAGAAAATGCCCATCCAGGCCTCTCTAGGTACTTGTGAATTTATTTAAAACACCAAAAACTAGGCAAGTCCCCTCAAAATTGCAGCTGAAACTGAACACATTGAAACCTGCTCCCTCAGGCAAAGGCCTGAATGAACAGCTAAACTCTTGCATCATACACTCTAGATCAACATTCAAGAGCTCAGTCAGCCCAGAGAGGGAATATGGCTCTACTGTGGCTTTTAAACCACAACTCATGGTAGGGACATGGAGACGGATAGTACTATAGCAAGACCCCCTGCGGGCAATACGTAAAACCAAAAGAATGGCTGTACTGGGTCAGACCAATGGTCCATCTAGCCCAAGATCCTGTCTTCTGACAGTGCCAGTGCAAGGTACTTCAAAGGGCATGAACAGAACAGGGCAAATATCAAGTGATCTGTCTACTCAGAGGTTTAGGGACACCCAGAGCTTGGGTTTGCATCCCTGACCATCCTGGCTAATAGCTATTAATGGACCTATCCTCTATGAACTTATCTAATTCTTTTTTTAACCCAGTTATACTCTTGACCTTCACAACATCCCCTGGCAATGAGTTCCACAGGTGGACTGTGCATTATGAGTAGAAGTATATCCTTGTGTTTGTTTTAAACCTGCTGCCTATTAATTTCATAGTGTTCTCTGGTTCTTGTGTTATGTAAAGGGGTAAATAACACTGCCTATTCACTTTCTCCACACCTTTCTTGATTTTATAGACCTCTATCATCTCAGTCATCTCTTTTCCAAGCTAAAGAGCCCTAGTCTTTTTAATCTCTCATTTTATATAAGCTCTTTCATACCCTGAATAATTTTTGTTGCCCTTCTCTCTGTACCTTTTCCAATTTTAATATATTATTTTTGAGATGAGACAACCAGAACTGTATGCAGTACTCCAGGTTTGGGCATGCGATGTATTTATATAGTGACATTATTGTATTTTCTCGAATTATTGATCCCTTTCCTCCTGATTCCTAACATTCACTTAGCTTTTTTGACTACTGTTGCACATTGAGCAGATGTTTTTAGAGAACTGTCCACAAGGATTCCAAGATCTTTCTTGAGTGGTAACAGCTAATTTAAACCCCGTCATTTTATATGTATAATTAGAATTGTTTCCAATGTGCATTACTTTGCGTTTGTCTACACTGAATTCATCTGCCAGTTTATTGCCTGGTCACCCAGTTTTGTGAGATCCCTTTGTAACTCTTCACATTCAGCTTCAGACTTCCTTCAATTTTTGCTACCTCACTGTTCACCTCCTTTTCCAGATCATTTATGAATATGTTGAGCAGCACAGGTCCCAGTACAGATCCTTGGGGGACCCTGCTACTTATCACTTTCCATTGTGAAAACTGACCATTTATTCCTACCCTGCTTACTTTGTTGAAGAGCCTTTGGTGGGGGACCTTGTCAAAAGCTTTTTGATAGTCCAAGTACACTCTAACTGGATCACCCTTATCCACATGCTTGTTGACACCCTCAAAATATTTGAATAGATTGGTGAGACATGATTTCTCTTTACAAAAGTCATGTTGACTCTTCCCCAGCATAATGTGCTCATCTGTGTGTCTGATAATTCTATTCTTTACTATACTTTCAACCAATTTGCCTGTACTGAAGTTAGGGTTACTGGCCTATAATTGCCAGAATTGCCTCTACGGCCTTTTAAAAAAATTGGTCTTACATTAGCTGTCTTCCAATCATCTGGTATAGAGGATGGTGTAAGCGATAGTTTACATATCAAAGTTAGTATTTCCGAGGTTAAAAATGACTCAGGTGTGGGAATCTTCCTCACATCCTCTGCAGTGAAAACTGATGCAAAGAATTCATTTAGCTTCTCCACAATGGTCTTGTTTTCCTTGAATGCTCCTATAGCACCTTGATTGTCCAGTGGCTTGGTCAGCAAGTCTAAGGGGGAAAACTGTTCAAGACAGTTGGCGGTTTTTCAAAGAGGCATTATTAAGGGCAGAAGAGGAAACACCCACTGCATAGGAAAGATAGGAAGTATGGCAAGAGACCACCCTGGATTAACAAGGAGATCTTCCATTATCTGAAACAAAAAAGAGTCCTACAAAAAGTGGAAACTAGATCAAATTACAAAGAATGAATATAAACAAATAACACAAGTGTGTAGGGACAAAATTAGAAAGGCCAGGGCACAAAACAAAACTAAATTAGCTAGAGACATAAAGGGTAACAAGAAAACATTCTACAAATACATTAGAAGCAAGAAGAAAACCAAGGACAGGGTAGGCCCATTACTTAATGGTAGGAGGGAACAATAACATATGTGGAAATAGCGGAAGTGCTAAATGAATTTTTTGTTTGTTTTCACCACAAAGGTTAGTAGCGATTGAAGGTATAACATAGTGAATGCCAGTGAAAATAAGGTTGGATCAGAGGCTATGATAGGGAAATAACAAGTTGATAGTAACTTAGATGTCTTCAAGTAACCCGGGCCTGATGAAATACATCCTAGAATACTCACGGAGCTGACTGAGGAGATATCTGAGACATTAGCAATTATCTTTGAAAAGTCGTGGAAGATGGGAGAGATTCCAGAGGACCAGAAAGGGCAAATGTATTTCCAATCTATAAAAAGGGAAGTAAGGACAACCCCGGGGAATTACAGACCAGTCAGCTTAACTTTAGTACCTGGAAAGATAATGGAGCAAACAATTAAGCAATCAGGAAGGAACAATCAGTTACATGCATACAAAATTGAAAATGACTACCTGGGATGGAATACCACGGAAAGGGATCTGGGGGTCATAGTGGATCACAAGCTAAATGTGAGTGAACAGTGTATCACTATTGCAAAAGCAAACATCATTCTGGGATGTATTAGCAGGAGTTTTGTAAGCAAGACACAAGAAGTAATTCTTCTGCTCTACTCCATGCTGATTAGGCCTCAACTGGAGCATTGTGTCCAGTTCTGGGTGCCACATTTCAGGAAAGATGTAGACAAATTGGAGAAAGTCCAGAGAAGAGCAAAAAAAATAATTAAAGGTCTAGAAAACATGACCTTTGTGGGAAGATTGAAAAAATTGGGTTTGTTTAGTTTAGAGAAGAGAAGACTGAGTGGGGACATAACAGTTTTCAAGTACATAAAAAGGTTGTTACAAGGAGGAGGGAGAAAAAAGGTTCTGTTAACCTCTGGACAAGGATAGGACAAGAAGCAATGGGCTTAAACTGCTGCAAGGGCAGTTTAGGTTGGACATTAGGAAAAACTTCCTAACTGTCAAGGTGGTTAAGCACTGGAACAAATTGCCTACCAAGGTTGTGGAATCTCCATCATTGGAGATTTTTAAGAGCAGGTAAAACAAACCCGTCAGGGCTGGTCTAGATAATACTTAGTCCTGCCATGAGTGCAGGGGACTGGACAAGTTGACCTCTTGAGGTTCCTTCCAATCCTATGATCCTGTGATTCACAGCAGCTGAACACACGTCTGACTATACCGTCTTTTGGGCAGATCATTAGGTCTGGAAACTGTTTACTTCAGTTGCCAGTTATTAAAGAAAGTCATATTTCTCACAGAAAAGCTGAAGTTCAAGTGTAAGATCTCTCAGTCAAGGTTAATTCTCAAATACCTGGTTTCTGAGGTACTGTTAGTAGAGGTTGCAGTTTTCAGGTAATAGACCTAATTGAAAATGCAAAGTAAAACTGTGTCCTGCGGTGTTCTTGATCAAACAAAAGCAACTGCAAAAATTCAATATTTACACAGCAAAAATTGTTCTTATTTAAAAAATAGAAATTCCAATTTTTGAAAGGTTAAATTTTTGTATCCATTAATTTTATTAACTATCTAAAGGCAAAGCTAGATAAAGAGCACTGGAGAGGTTTGTACGGTTAAAAAAGCACTATACAGAGAGAGTTTTTTCTTTATGCATACATTTTGGGTAGGCGCATAAAAAATTATTTTGTTCTTTAAAAATAAATGCAGTTAAATTTAAGAGATGGAAAATAAATGACAGTAATAAGATTTGTATACCTCAGACACCTCCAAGAAAGACCTTATTCCTTACTATCCGATAGCAGCTTGGGTCTATAAATCTTCTTGATCGTCTGAGAGAAATTGTGCTATATCCAAGATAGCCTTTCACCTTTAACTCACTAGAGCTATTTGTCTTCTGTCAAATTTTAAAATATTTAAAGATCTTGTGGTTTTGGATTGATAAGTCTTTTAACAATTTTAATAATTTAAAATCTATTAGTTGTAAACACTTTCAACATTATCTAATCTAGTGATAATAAGGAACCTGCAAGGACTTAAATGATATAGATGCTTTGTTTCTTACAGTTAATGGGTAATACATTTTAGTTGAAAAACTAAATATGTTCCTATTAATTTGTGAATAATTTACCTAAGATTTCCATAACAATTTGTAGTTAATAGTAGATAATCAGCTGAGTCATCCATTTAAAACATTATACACACACACACACACACACACACACAGACCGAGAGATTGTCTAAGTAAATTAGATAAATATTTTAAAATATCACTTTACCAGAATGGCATTTTGGAATAAAAGATCACTTTATTTTTTAAGAAGACACGTATGTGGCCGGTATTTGTGTATGTTCCATTTGCTACTGTCTAAGATTCGTGTGTCTGTATAATAGCTTTTTCCTTCAAAATATATCTTCTCCTTTTGCTTGTTCCTGCTGTGATGAGGAATTATTCCTGTTTGTTAAAGCAAAAGAATGATTATTGTACAAAGATGAAGTAAATATTGAGGGGGAAAACACTAAACAGAAATCCAAGAGCAATAAGTAGCTTGGTCTTAAGGAATAAACCTTCCATGCAAACTTGATTGCTTTATTGATAGTGTTTCAAAGTTAATG